TTTTGGGAAAGCCTTGCTGTTGAGTACCTCTTAAGAGTGCTAGGGAGCAACGATGTTAGTGTAGAGACTACAGTGTGCCTGATCGAGGCCATAGTACTTGAAGTTCATTGCTACACAACTGATAGCTGGACCATGACTAAGGATGACTGAAGAAGAATCAACGCCTTTGACTTGGGGTGCTGGAGGAGAGTACTGAATACCCCGTGCACTGCCAAGAGAACAAACAGGACTGTCCTAGAGAGGATGAAATCAAGTTGATCCTTGGACGCAAGGATTGTGAAGCTAAGTCTCACATACTTTGGCTGTGTTGCCAGGAGAGACCAGTCCTTGGAGGACATCAGGCTGAGAAGTGTTGAGGGGCAGCACAGGAGAGGAAGACCCTTAAGAATCTTGGGGGCAAGTCTATCAGAGACATGAGATTGGTTCAAAATAGGGCAGGGTGTAGAGCTTTTGTTTATAGCGTTGTTATGAATCGTAATCGACTCAATGGCACATAGAATGTAAAAATGCCCAGTGGCTTTTAAAATTCACCTATGTACAATATTCTATCACATAAATACTCTACAATTTATTTAACCAATCAGCCACTGGCATTAGGCTGTTTGCAGTATTTTACTGTTACACATGACCCTGTGAGGAGGAATAAATGTTATATCCAGCCTTCACCATCAAAATAGATTTAATTGGTAAGCTGCTAACAGGGGGGCATCTGTTTTTGTCGAAGTTCAAATGCAACTTCCTTGATTACCATATGTTCGTAGTATATAATTATTTGGAGATATTAATCATTAGCCTTGTAGTGCTCCAACTTGATTTGAAAATTATATTTTACAAAGCAAAACACCCAAGCAGGCATTGAAAAAAAAATCCCTGACTTCCACAGATGCAGTTATCTGGCTGGATTCAATGTGAGTATTACTGGTTTTGTTTCAGTTACTAAGCAGTGTGTATAGGACATACAATCATTTTTATTTCATACTCATCTTACCTCTCATTAATTTGCCTTGTGACTATTAGTGTTTTCCCATGTCTATAGTAGTCTACAATATTGATATAACACTGTAAAGTTCATTTTACTGATATTAATTCCATTTTACGTAGTGAATAAGACATCAACTCTTTTGGGAATTCCATAGAAATGCTGTTTCTGAACAATTTGTGTAATTTCCAATAACTTAAATTGGAAGATAGTGTCCAAATCAAAGCCAAGAATTCTTGGTCTGCAGCATTGGCCAGAGGAAATAGGGTTCTAGCAAATAACTGGCATTGCGGAGTTTGTGATTATCAGATAAGTAGAGGCATTATCTTTAAAATTGTCAAGTGGAAATGATCCTCAGCGTTGCGGCAACTCAATGTTCTGAACAAATTTGAACTGGAGGAAGTCATAGAATGAAGCAAGCTTCCACTAGGTGTGAAAATCTTTGCCAAGGAGAAAAATAGGTGCTATACTTAAGGAATAGTTGTCTGCTTCTGGGAATATTACATTGTATAATAAGTAGGAGGCCTAGTAAGATAGTGTCTACGTTCACTCTATTTTTATGATTCTAACAGGCAACAACCAAAAGCCATGGGGAAACTTAGTACAAGGTCAATTGTTTTAAATTCAGATTATATGAAATAAATTTGACAAACAATTCTTATTAATATAACGAACATGCTCTTTATTTACAGAATGAAGGCACAGTTGTTGTTCTATTACTTCATCCCAATGGAAATGAAGGAGTATTTTCAAGTACTACATAGTTTCAATTCTAGGGTAATAGTGATACTATGAGCTCTGATGGCTGAGTGTCAAGTAGCTGCCTTTCAATCCTGAAAGCACATGGTTCAAATCCACCAGATGCTCCATGTGAGAAGGATGGGCATTCCCCTTCAGAGTGATTAACTGCCTCTGAAAACCCACCTGAGGGTCAGCTATGGGTCAGTTCTGACTCTATGGGACACAACAACAGCAATAGCAGTGATAGTACAGAACAATTAGATGCCTATGGGGTAATACTGCTTCTTTAAAAAAATGTTGATATGGGGGCTGGGGGGAAACTAAGAAAAGAGGAGATAAATAACCTACACAGCATTGAAACAGACAAGGAAAGAACTGTATAAAAGGAATATGTGATTAGATATTATTGGCATAAGAATAAAAGCTGCATAATAAAGTGGTCTGGGGTGGGGGTGGGAGTCTGTATAACAATGAAAGAACTTTTTTCCCCAAAGAAAAAAGCGATCTGGGGGAAGCGGGTACAGGGAGGAAAATGTGGAACAATGAACGAATGGAAACTCAAGTTCTTTATAAACTTTCATTAAAACATCAATTAAAAAATGATTGAGGCTTTTTTCTTCTTTCTTTTTTGGTCTTTTTTTTTAACTTTGTAGATTCTTACATGCAACTTCATAGGGTATCTTACTGTCACTTTTTATTAGGCTCTTATGGTACATTTATCTAATTTTATAATTGGTACTAATAAGAGCATGTTATTAAAACTACAGACCATTTCATAGACAAATTTCAAAAAGCACAAATATTACTTGCAATCAAATAACACTGTGATAAATATCCTTGTATTTTTAGAAATCGTTTAATTCTACTGCCTTCAGGTATAAAAATAGATATACCAGGCTGCTCCTTGGAGGCAAGGATTCTGGGGCTTCGTCTGACATACTTTGGACATGTTGTAAGGAGAGACGGGTCTTTAGAGAGGAACATCATGCTGGGTAGAGTAGAGGGACAGCGCAGGAGAGGAAGGCCCTCTATGAGGTGGATTGATTCAGTGAATGGGATAATTGGGATGGGTGTGTCAGAGGCAATGCGATTGACACAGGATAGAGCACAGTTTAAGGCTGTTGTCCATAGGGTCGCTATGAGTCGCAAACGACTCGATGGCACATAACAACAACAACAAGAAGAAGTCGTATACTCCTCCTGCCTACATCATATACCTACAGTTTACTCATGGCCTAAGGAAATGAAAATGGTACCTATTTCTGAATCAGACTGAAAATAATTTTTGTTTACTTTCTGTTTGATTAAATCTGGACTTCATTTTATCAAGGAATTGCCATTTTGTGTTGGGTACTTTGATAAATGTTGATAGTTGTAGAGGGGCTTCAGGCCTTGTGTTCATAGGGTTGCTATGAGTCCTGCTTAACTGGAAGACAACACCAACAACATATTTAAGTGGGTTTTATATTTGAAACATTTTTAAAAGCTACATTACTTGTAGTTTTATTCCACTAAAACATTCCAATTGGCTATGTAGTTAACAGAAGTTCAGTGATTGATTCTGAATCATGAGTTTCTATAAATCCTAGAGGGCTAGGAACAAAGGTTGGTGGTTCTAATCCACAAGCCTCTCTGTAGGAGAAAGATAGGCAGTTTCCTCCTGTTAAGATTTACAACCTCAAAAACTGATGGAGTGTTGTCAGAAGACAGAACTGACTGGAAAACAGTGAACTTGGGCTTGGTTTTTATAGACCTCATGGAAGACTAAATATGTGTATGGCTCCTAAGTATAGTACTTATACTTGCAAAATCTCTCCCAAGACTTGTAGTTCCAATGGCATTGTAGGCTAACCCATTAGGCTGCTAACCAAAAGGTGGTGGTTCGAATCCACCAGCCTCTCCTTGATGGAAAAGATGTAGCAGTCTGCTTCATTAAACTTTCACAGCCTTGAAAGCTCCGTGCTATCTGGTCTATCTAGTCCTAGAGAGTTGCTATGAAGTGGAACCAACATTGTGCCGTTGAGTTTTGATCTTTGATTCCATACAAACGAAAACATTTTTCAAATATGTGTAACCAAAGCTATTTTGACATCAGAAATCATGGCAAAGAATTTAATTTCCTCACTAGTAAGTCCCTGCTCGAAGGCTCAAAATGAAAGGTTTTAATGTTTTAGCCATGTATTTTTCCATAAAGGAAGCTGTTAGCATTTGTGGCCAGTGATTTTATTATAATACTTGGCATGTATATGGAAAAATTTAAAAAAATAAGACTCATCTTGATCACAGCCAGATCCCTTACTTTATGGAAGCTAGATTGTTGTTTGTTTTGTTCCCTTTGGAAAATATTTATTTTAGATACACCGGATCAGTACAAGGCTAATGATTAATGTCCCAAAAAGTAACTTGGCAGCCCTAATAAATAGCTGCACTGAGAGACAGAGAATTGGTGGCTGAGGGAGGAAGTAGGGTGTTTCACCTTTATATCACCTTTACACCACTTGTCTGTCTAATAAAAACTGTACTGACTTGGTTCACAAATCATAGCAGTCAAAAAGTGATGTCTCAGACCTCAAAAAAAACACCACAAACCAACCCCCCCCCAAAACAACAACACAACAAAATGTGACCACAAAGTATGTATGATTTCAAACTTTTGTAAATGCAAGTCTTTTGAGATGGCAGAAATGCCAATTCTAACTTGAGTAATATGCTACCTTTTTAAAAAACAGTACAACAGCTTAAAAGAATTACTAATATGAAGCGGTTCATGTGAGTCTTTGCAATTTCAGTAAAGTGTTTCACTGAAATAGTTTTCTTTAAAAATGTATAGAGGAGGAAATAATCACTGGGCATGAGACTAAGAAATGTGTTAATCAGTGAACATTTCCAGTGTGCCAGGCCACTAGTGATGACAGGACATATTAGAACACTGGTCCTCAATTATGGAAAAACTTGAAACATGTCTAGTTAATTATCAGAGTGGTACCCTAAATTTTTTTTCTCCTTTGCCCTTTTTATTTCCTTTGGAGTGCCCAATAAATTGAAGAGAGACTAAGTTTACTTGTGGTTTAGAGGTTACCTGCTTTGACCATTCCAGTCAACATAACTTAAGTCAGATAAAACCGTTTGATTTGTGCTCAGCAGAGAGCTTATTTTGATCTGGAGGTGAGTCTACCAAAGAGCGGGAACAGTTTCTCATTATTTTCCCCTCACCATTCCAAACAGTCTCTCCTGAAGTCTTTCGAGCAATGTGTGACCTCTGTTTCAATACTTCTCGCAGATTTCACAGACTGTCACCACCACTCAGCCGTCACTAACACAGACAACTGTAATGGAAACCGTAACTATGGTGACCACGAGGGAGCAGATCCTGGTAGAGCACACCCAAGAGGGTCTTCCACCACCACCGCCCCAAAAGAAGAGACAGATGACCGTGGACTCGGAAATTAGGAAAAGGTGAGAGCACCATATTCATGGCTGCGTCCCGGGATTTTGGTGAACTTGCCTGTGAAGCGAGCACAATTCCTGGTATTTTTGCTTAGGTGGTGTTTCCTGGACTCTTGAGTGCCCATAATATCAGTTAACTTGGTAACAAAGGTCACAACGCTTATTTTAAAATGGGCCTCAGGTGTCATTGTCTCTCCCCAAAACATAATGCTTAATGGCAGTACTAGGGTCTGGATTTGAAACAAGAATGCAGGGGGACACATGGCAATTCTGAAAGGAGCTTCTTTTCTTCTAAGGGGCTGGTTTGCTCACTGCCTGCTTTTGCATGAAACGTTCTCTTTCCAGTAAAGGAAGATAAATGTCCCTGAGGGAGAAGCACACCTGTAATAGCAGTGATCCATTCTACTGGTTTATAAGAGCATAATGTCCAACCAGTACATCCCAAATCAGGTATCATTATAGACCAGTTTTCCCATTCTTTGATATTTATATAGACTTACTTTTGAGGTGCCAGGATTTTTAACTGGTCTTTTCGTGGCTAGCCTCAGCGAAGCATCTTCCTTGGGTGTTATGTAAATGACTGAATCGATGCAAGTGTTAGGAATACCATTTCATAAACACAAAGCTGACAGGGAGAGCCTAAAAATGGCATCCTTTCCTTTTCATTCCAATTCTTCAAATTCCCAGATTAAGAAACGCCACTAAAGGCTGCCTTATGCCTCTAAGCGGCATATGTTGAGGAGTGCATGAAACACTTGACATTAGCATTTGGATACAGGGGTGTAAGATTATGAGAAAAAAGAATGCATACCTAAAAATAGGGTATCAGCTGTTCCAGGGAAAAGGGGTAGGGATCTGGAAAAAGTCTCCACCTCTATTATTTGAGGTTTTCTGTGCTTCTCTATGAATTCCTGACTTCTAACCTTCCTTGACAATTTCAAATGAATCAGCCACCAGACCTTTTTCTGCTAGGTAGTGGCTGCTGATCTGAGTAGTCCTCACTTCTAGGGGTCGGCTTCCTATGGCCTCTGAGCCTAACCCAGCCTGCCACAAGTCTTTCTCTCCCCTCATTTCAATAATTTGTGGAAAAAAATTTTACAAGAAAAAAAACGTTCACGATACGAAGTACATGTGAAATTTAAATTTCCATTTCTATAACTAAGACTTTTCTTGGAACACTAGTATACCCTTTCATTATATACGACAAAGCTTTGAATATTTAGCTTCTGGTCTCCAACTATGACAGTTTTGGGATCCCTTCTCCAGGCAAAATCATCTCATACTGGTTGAAGGTTAGCTTCCATATGAGGACCCCACATTTCATGGATTCACTTTATGATGAGTCTTAAAAATTTAATATACACCAATGGAGAGTTTTATAAAAAAAAAAAAGAACACCCCATACAACCATAATCAGAAACACAAATAAGGCTCTTAAAATCTGAATAGCATGCACATTCTTCCCCCTGCACCCCCCCCCTCCAAATTCTTGTTAGGGAAACTTTGTGACTTAAAAGCAAGAAGCTGCACTGCGATCCAAAAGCATGCAGTTTGAGGCCGCCAGAGAGTGGAGTGCCCCACGGGACAGTGATGGAAAATCTCCTCCTGTAGGTCAGCTCTGGGGTGCTTCCAACTCTATGGTAAATAATAACAGCAAAGACTTGTTAATTATATTTATATGGAAGATGTCTCATGGACATATGGATTTGTGTTCAGTCGCAAAAATCTAATCATTTTCTAGCAGTTCTCCAATCAGTGTGTTTAGACATCTACTTACTTCAGCATTGTAATGTCTTGAAGTCCCACCTAGTTTGGAAAGTACCAGAGCAAGTTGATTCTCATCAATCTCCTCGCTTTACTCTTAGCTACTATTTCATGTCTGTGGTTGGGGGTAAAAATGTCTCCTGCCATCTTTTTGTGGCTTCAGGTGAAATACTTCTGTCTCCTAAATTCTCTTTGTATCATATGCCCTCCTCATTTTTTTTAAAGTATCTTGGAATGAGTTTTCCAAATGAGCGCATAAGGAATAGATCACTTACATACAAACTAACACTTATTGAGTGTTTTATTATGCACCGAGCACTAGATTAAGCACTTTATCTGCATAGCTTATTTATTCATCCCAATGAACCTTCAAGATAAGTATTTCTATCATTACTGTTACACACAGCTAGCTAGAGAGTGGCTGAGTGAGAGTCTCCTCCAAGATACTCTGATGACAAAACCTAAACTTTGGAAGAAAAAGTATCTTTTTGGCATTTATGACTTGAGTGACCTTATTCTTGACTGGCCTGAAGCTCACATTATGCCTATTCTCTGAATATAATCCTGTACAGTTAGAACTTTCACTCTCAAAAGCATCCTGAACTGGACAATAGATGTATTTTATGATTGTATGTATGTATGTCTATACACATATACACACATGTACATATACACGCATGCATATACATATATATATACAGATATATACATACATATATACTTTATATATACCTTACATATATATACTTTATATTTTATATACTTTTTATTTTATATATATATTTATACTTTATATGTTTCATGTATATACTTTATACACACACACACTTTAGATGTAACAATTCAGATGGGTGTATTAGAGCACAGGGCAAAGAGTAAAGGAAGCTAAGAAATCGCGCTGTTAATCCAGAGGTACATGGATCAAATCCAGTGTCCACTACTTTGGAGAAAGATGACCAGTCTCCTCCCTTGTCATTTACATAAGAGCATCTCAAAATTTGCTAGAGGGTCAGCTCTACACTGGTTCTGATTTGACAACACTTAACACCAACAAAGAGGAACCAAAACCAAAGTCAATGACAAATTAACTTCCATGAAGGAGAAGTATTTACAGGATCAAGTGTGTTTAAATTTGATGTAATGTGTACAGAAGCAAAACACAAACACACCTGAAAGTTCCTGGTGGCCAGCATGATAGCATTCTCTGCTCCTGTCTCACGTCAGAACAGCTCAAATGTCAATGTAATAGCCTCAACTGTTTACCAAATGCTGTTGCTGGGTTTTATTTTTTTTTAAATCATATAATCAGATTCTGTGACATGCTAATTAATACTTCTGCCTCTTTCCCCACTTACCTTTCCTCCTTCTGCTTAATTCTTATGAGAGTCACCCACAAACCCACCTCTTTGCCTTCTGATTTCCTTGTCTGAATTCTCTCCTTTTATTGATCTTAGATGTGGCTTCTAAGTAAATGACTCCTAAATTGTGTTGCATTTTGACCATCTCTCTCAATTTTCACTTTTCTATCTTAAATACTGGGATATGTGCCTTTCCGCTCCTACATCCAAACGTTGCTATGATTTTTTTTTCCTATTGCAGACATTTTTTTACAGCCAATGAATTAAACCTTTGATTTAAGTGCTGTATAGGTTTTGCTATTGTAGTTATTGTAGCAGATATTGGAAAACCTTTGAGTTTTGAAATCGGAATACTCAGATTGTATTCTTATCTTGTGATCTCAGATGCATAGCTGCATCTCTGATTCAATAGCATTACTTCATAAAACACTCTTAAGTTAATACAGTTCTTATACATGAATGATAGAAAATTGATGACTTTGAGCTACTGTGCTGGAGAAGAGAATTGAATATATCATGGACTGCCAGGAGAACAAACAGATTTGTCCTAGAAAGAAAGAAGCTAGTCTGCTTATTGAAGGCAAGGATTCTTAAGCTTCATCTGACAGACTTTGGGCATGTTGCAAGGAGGGACCAGTCCTTGGAGAGGGACATCATGCTTAGAAGGGTGGAGGGACAGCGCAGGACAGGAAGACCCTCAATGCGATGGATTGATTCAGTGACTGGGGTAATGAGGGTAGGTGTGTCAGAGACAGTTAAGTTGGCACAGGATGGAGCCGGTTTCAGGGCTGTTGTACATAAGGTCGCAATGAGTCACAGGCGACTGACTCGACAGCACCTAACAACAATAACAACAACAACAACACAGTGCTTGTGAGAGAATAAGCATTCATTGACAGAATGAGTTGTTATTCTTGCTTGGTTCAAGTGAAGGGAATAGTGGTAGAGGCATTGGTAGAAGTTGTCTGGTCTGTGGTTAGTGTTGGCCATGGTAGCAGAATTGAACGTGGTGGCAGCTGTGACAATGGTACTGCTAACAGTGATGCTGGTGGCACTGGTATCAATGAAGGTGACATCCGCAGTGGTGGTGGTCATGGGAATGGCTGGGGTGATGTGAGAAGAGATGATGATGGTAGCTGTGATGGATGGAGAGGAAGAAAGAGGGGACAGAATAATGGGCATTCCATTATCACGTAATGGTTTTCCCTGACAGTTTGTAGAGTTGTTCTTAGTAACAAACACATCAACCTTCCAGTAATGAGTAACAATTTTAATTTTGCATTTTAAAAACCCCAAGCCAACCACCTCCAAGTTGATTCTAACTCACAGTGACCTTAGGAGAACAGAGTAGGACCTAAGATTGCATTATTTAAGGAAGGCACACTAGTGACATGAATTGTAACAAATCAGGCTGCTACTCAAAAGGTTGACATTTTTAACCTGCCACCTGCTACACAGGAGAAAGATGGACCATCTCCTCCCATAAGTGCCTACAATCTCAGAAACCTGATGGAGGGTGCTGTGCTTTGGAATTGACTGGACGGCAGTGGTTTGATCCGGTTGAATATTCAAGGAAGCAAGCTACCATATCTTTCCCCAGCACAGCAGTTGCTTCCTTCCAACGACTAACCTTTTGGTTAACAGTCGAGCGCTTCAACCATCAACACTATTGGTGTTGGGATTCAAGTATGACCCATAGTGACCCTGTGGACAACAGATTTGAACTCCGTTCTATGTTGTGCCATTCTCACACCCAAGAACCCATTGAGGCAGTCACCGTGTCAATCCACCTGGTCAAGGGGCTTCCTCTTCTTTGCCGACCTTCCACCCTTCTGAGCATCATCTCTCTCTCCCAGGAATAGTCCCTCCTAGAAACATGTCCAAAGT